AGGTTCAGACTGCCCCTATGATACCCTGAGAATTTAAAAAATAATCTGAAATAGTTAAAAGATGTCCTTATACTACCATTTAAATCAAGAATTTTATTTAATTAATACTTACAACTCCGTTCATACAATGAGATTTAAATAATATATCGTTTCCATTTCCCCACAACCCTTCCGCCCCCAAATTATTTTATACTTAGACATGGCTGATGTGTTTACTATTTTGGAATGATTCCATACCTTTAAAGACTGCCACGTTGTTCTCAGAGACAGCTTGTCCTAAAAAATATGCTTTGCTTGGTTAATGTTTTAAAAAATATGCTCTTTCCTTGCTCCTTCTTCTGTGGCATAGGAAGCTGGAAAAATTCCAGTGACCTTTGGTATGACTGTCTTACAAATTAGTGCAATATATTTCTCTACATTTCACACCGTGCTAAATATTTTTGGCAGTACAAGATGAATATTATGAATTTAGCTTAGTTTTTAAACAGCTTTTCCATTTGTATGGAAACTCTGAAGCTCCTTGGCTTCCAACCAGAGAACTCATCTTCTGTCTTGTTCCTTACATGTTAATTATTCTTAAAAGAACAACAGCATTAAAAATAAAAATAATTTAAAAAAATAGAAATAGAATAGAAAATGGAAAAAAAACAGGAAACTCTCTAGAAAGGAATGACATTTTACAGCACTTTGGTGAATAAAATACACATTTCAACTAAATCAATTAGATTCCATTTCATGCAATTATCCTGAATGCAAACCCAACTTGAATTTAACTAACTACTGATACTATGTAGTTTGCCTGTTTCAAAACACAGCTTTTATTACCAGCTAAAGGCAGTTCAATGAAAATTGGAGGTTTAACCACTCAGAAGCCTGCTGGCAGTCTTGATGAGCTGTAATTCTAATTGGAAACCCTTGCAGTTAGCACACAACAAAACACCATCGCTGCTTTTCAGTGATGACGACATGCTTTGCAGATGTTACCTGTACAGCACCTCCAGAAAGGAGTTACTTGAAGAGCTCCACAGATGAGGGGAGTGAAGATGAGGAAGCGTGGATCCACCTGAATTACAGAGCTGGTTCATTCTTCCTTTGCAAGAATGAACTTCATTTTACTGGATCCTCCCAGAAATATCTTCTTTCAGATGATTTTACTTAATTATTTTGCTGCCTAAGATCTGCCCTGTACATCCAATAAAAGGCCAGAGTGGTCTGGTTATGTGCTAGAGGGTTTTTTACCAGGAGGACTTCTTTTACAAGCACTAGCTTAAAGCATGAAAGCCGTAGTAGTGGCAACACCATCAATTATATCTGAGACTATGTGTGCATTTTACAGCTTATGATAACTGATTCAATGCACAAGTATACACAAGTATTTGACTACCATTAAACAACATCTCTCTTAATCTTTGGTCTCAAACACCACTTCCATTTCATAAATGGTGTTACTCAATTAGAATGGAAACACACGGCAGCTTTATTTCCCTCTACCATTACTTGGAAGTTTGAGCAGACTTTTATGATATATCTGACGTGATATTCGTGATAACCTAAATATATTTACTCCAATATTTACACAAAGTAAGGTCTAACCTTTAATAGAGATTTTTTTTTTCCATAAGTCAAATTGTTAATCAGAAAACTCTCAAAAAATCTTCAAACCATTTCTAAAGCTTTTGCCCAGTTTCAATATTAAACTCGTTTCAGCATTCACAACTGGTATAAAACATCACCACATTATTTTATGGGTGTTGTTTATCGTGTTTTTCTTTCATCTTCTACTGCAGCAGCATTTCTAAGATTCCAGCAGTCTAGGCACAGCATTTCTGCAAGCAGAATTTCCTTATTTATTGCTGGGAATTGCAGCTGAGAAAGGACTGACTCAGCTCAGAAAGAAGCAGTCTGGCAGCAGTCTAGGAACTTCAACATTGAAAGATAGGAACGTTGTGGGAAGACTGAGCTTAAGAGAAAGAAGAGGCTGTCATAGAAAGGAAGGAACATAGAAATGCAGTAGGAAAACTTTTCAGACAAAAGGGCTATTTCAACTCTTTGCTGTGGATGAGCTGTTAGCTTTGATCTCAGTTCATTGAATCACCTTGAACATTTTCAGTAGATTTTGGGACATTTGGCTGAAGTCAAAAGGTTAAGTCTTCTATTATATTTCTTGAGTAATTTCACTGTTTTTAGGTCCACATTCATCTCAAAAGATTTCTTTTCTTTTTTTTTTTTTAACAACAAAGGAGAAAAGACAAGTAAAAATTCTATCTGATAACTTTTTAGTGTCATAACATTTTTTCTTGCAGGTATGATCATAGTAGCTTTTTCAGTCTAATCTTTGAAAAAGAAACTACTGATGTATTTCAGATCTTTTCAAGTCACCTAATTTAGTATCCTTACTTTTTTCAGGACCTAATAGTAATGAAAAAGAGCAAGAATAATCCTTAAAGGAGACAACATTAGGTTTTCTTTCTATATGTCTTTTGAAAATAGAACGTACCTTAGAATCATCGTTTCCTTTACAAGAGAATATAATGAGAGGGTTTGGAATGTTAATTAAACGTGATGCTCAAACTAATTGTTCTCTAATACTACTACTAATATTTGGATGAGAATACACAGGAATTGTATAGATTTTTCATGGCAGTGTCCCTCTGAAACGGAGATTACCTTCAGATAAGAAGAATTCTTACAGATATTTACATGTTATTTTCACAGTTAATGTATAGATGCTTTGGCTTTCTTCCCACAGTACCTCAGCTGGGCAGATTTCAACCACACCCTGCTTAGAATCCAGCTGTGTCAGGAAGAGTGAAATATTGCTGAGTAAAGCATGGATAGAATTCACTCTACTTGTACTCCAGATACACAGGCCACAGTGACTAAAGGGCTATGCCTTACTAATCTGCCTGCATGCCTTCTATCCTCTGCAACAAGGATAACAACAAGGATGCACAGAGAGAACCATTTATTCAGACTGATCAGTTCATAACAGCCACACAGAATTACTACAGACATCTTCCTGACTTCAAGTGAAACTCAGATGGAACTTTGGAAAAATTCCTTCTATACAGGTTATCTCTCAAAAGCACAGTATGTGGTGGGTCATTCATACTGACTTGAATCTCCTGTATTCCCAGAGGAAAGGCAGTAGCTGCAGGGAAGCTACTCTCCTAAATGATGCAATAATGAACAGAGTGCTGATCCTTCAAAATGTTGCTTTCCAGGATTTCTGAAATACCAGGCTAATGTCCCAGTGGGGACTGAATTCTTAACATGTTAGTCTCCCAATGACAGCAGAATATCCCTGCAAAAAGAGAGGTTACTAACTGAATTACTAAGCCTCAGAAGTCAGTCAGCCATCTTGGGGCAAAAATGCTAACGCTTGTAACTGTGAAGTGCTTAACTATGAAGTGCTTAACCATCATGGTAACAAAAAGCACGTAATCAGCTAAGATTAGTTCTTGATTGTCCTGCACTTAAAAAATTCTTTAATTTTAGCAGGAAAGAGTCCCAGAAAAGACTGTTGGAATTTCAAGCTGACTAAAGGTACAGCCAGTCTTAAAAGGCAATGTTGCATCACCCTTGACCCTGAGTACTGCAATTTGTTTTAGCATGAAAAAACAGAATATTTCCTCAGAATTTCTGATGCTTACATGGCCCATGAGTTTTTCTTGCAGTGTAACATGTTCTTCATCCCATGGAAGTGTACAGGCACCACAAACCGTTAAAGACTCACATATTCCTAAATGCAAAACTTTCTCTGGATAAATCCTGTATATCATATGGAATTCTGAGATGTATTCTCCCAAGAGCAGCAAAATAATTCTCTTAAGATCTGTTCTGTGAATTGTCTCTACAGCTGCTTTATGGTACTGGTTTTTGTGCTTTCCTTTTTTATTTATTTCCCCGGGTATAAGCGGTACACTTGAGCTGCCATCCTTTCTGCCATGCTTTTTGCTTGCTCAGTTTTTGGTAATAGGCTTAGACTTCAATGTAGCAAAGTATGTGAGCTTAACTTCATTGTGTTGCACAATGGATATGTAACTTCGCTAGATAACACTGTCAGCACTGAGCAAGTTCTTTCCCCTTCTCAAGTTCAAATCTGCTTGATAGTCACAGAGAGTCTTCCTCTTTATCAATTTTATGGAAAATAAATCCTTGAGAATATAGCAGTTTTGCTGTTGCTATCGTTTACATGCTCTGGAATGTGTTATAGCTGTTGAATATCACTAATCATTTGCACTCATCCACTTCTGCTTCTTTTCCCAAAAACATTGTAGCTAACACGATGCCAAGTGTGAAAAAACTACTGAAGGGCTCGTGCACAGACACTGGCAGTTATCAGTTGCTTGGCTAATCACATATTGAGCAATCTGCCAAAAACAGAGACCACGTTTACTGCTTATCCAGTGCCTGAAACAGGGAGATGGCTACTGCTACTATAATCTAAAAACTGGGAGTTTGGACATTAATAGCAAAAGATAGTGATCATAATTGTATCATAATGGTCATAGATATTTTTCATATTCTCAGCCATTGTTTAAAAGAAAATTCAGTAGTTCAGAACGAAATTGTTTTCTTAATGTCTTTCAGTAGACATGCAGATGCTAACATCTTATTAATAAACATTCCAAAACACTCACAATTTTTTAAAGAACAACTTCTCCCCCTCTGTAATAGTCTTTAAAAAACAGCCCAAAGGAGGAAGGCCATGGCATAAGGCTTCACATTTAAAATTGAGAATATTTTAAATCTTATTTATAAGTATAAAAATTGAGTTATTCTATCAGTAGAAATGTAAGCACATGAAGTCTATAAAGATAAAAATACAACCAGCTCCTGAGGTGTATTTACATATTTTGCAATATTGCAATGCATATCTTGGCTCCTTCTATAATTGATTTCAGTGTATTTTGTTTTGAAGCTGCTACAGCAACATTAAAGTGTCAGGCTTCAATTTATACACCACTCTGTCCAAGCCTGCAGTCCACTCACAAAAAGGGAGGCAGCCTTAGCATGAGCTTTTTTTTTATTATTATTTTGCTTGAAAACATCTTGCAAATAAACACTTCATGGCTAACAAATCCTGAAGTTAATTATGGATAAGAAAACTCTTTAGATAAGAAAAGCATGAGCTATGCAGACAAACACAGTGCTCTTGAGGATGCTGAGTGTGCAATATGGTCACTGATCTGTCACTGCTGATTTACCTTTGGATCACCATTATGTTTCTGTAGCAGCAGGAAATCTATCTTCCATGGGATGCTGTCAATCTCAGAGATGTTGGTATCTTTCAAGTTTAATAACGACATGGTTTCTTATTCATCTAAAATACTGGAATCTCACCTGTGGTTTTCAAATAGCTGGGATTTCTTCTTTGCCATCTAGGAGAAAAAGAAGAATTACATCATACATCTGGGTTGTTATGGCTTAAAAACCAGAGATACTTGCTTTTCAATAGGAATTATCACTGCTCATGTCTTGGCAAGTGGAGAGGGAGGGATAATGTAGGGATTTCTTTACACATAAAATTTTAGCTTAGTTAAATCACATTGGAAAACAACATTACCAAAAAATGTACCTGAAGACAATAGATCAGATTGTAACTGAGCATGATGATTAGACAGGACCCACTTGGCAGTCCTGCATTTTATTTGCATATGAGATGAAAAAGTGAGGGAATAGAAGAATAATGAACTTGTAATAGTCAGCTTTTGATTATTAATCCTGGCTCATTAAGAAACTCCATTTATATGTTTTTTTTTTAAATGGATTTGAGCACAAAGAGCAAGTTTTATATATACTTCTGAAAAACTGACATCAGGTCCCTTTATTCACTTACTTAGAGAACTTTGATTTTTGTGTTGTATTTGTTTTGAATAGATTTTCAGCTTAATTTCTACTAAAGCGAAAGCATTAAAATTAAAAGTCTGCATTAAAATACTACAAATGGCTTCAGTTCCCTGAAGTTGCAGTCCTGAAGTAGATGACAAAAGACCCTGGGAAGCAGGCTGACAGATGCACAACCTTCCCCTCTTACTCAGTACAACAGTAAATGGCAGAGCTGCACAAGGTTTGTTTCATTCCAAGACAGCGTCAGTAAAATTTGTTTTAGATTCTATTGATCGAATGTTATCAATAATGTAACATTTTAAATCACCTGTTACTTCTCTAGAAGGGAAAGAAAAAAATACCTTTGTTTCTGAGGTGTACTGTTGCTTTTATTCTAGTGCAAACTTTTCAGATGGACTTTATTACACTTCTTGAATCCTTTTAACCAATTCCATATTACTGTGAAATAACTGTGTATAGCACACGAACTGCATAAAGCTACTGCTGATGTATCACAGCCATGGAATAAACCACTCCTAACAACAACAAATAAATAAATAGTATCCACACAACTTTCCTAGACTGTATGTAGAATGCTTGTACCAAAAAATCTCCATTTCCTGGGAGGAGAAACACCAGTATCTGTGGCAGCTGGACCTTGCTGATTGTTTATACTGTTGAAAGAATAAAGATTTGTACTTTTTAAAATAAAAAATTATAAAAGGCTGCATTAATTTTATATACTTTGTTTCTATTTTGACCAATAACATGTAGTACTAGGTAAATAAAACTATAGCAAGTTTAAAGGAGAAAATACTGAGAATGCATATTATCAGAACATATCTTGAGTTGGCCTACAGATTACAGATTAAAGACTACCACATAATTTCAAACAAAAATGAATCTCAGTCAGGTAGTGTGTCTCCTATTGATCAAACAATTTTGTGTTTTTTGACAGCTGCCCGCAAAGAGAAATAAGGTGGTAAATGAAGAGAAATAAATCATAGTAGAAAAGAAGATTAAAAAACTGGATCAAATTGGCTCTTGGAATTTGCAGATTGTTGCATTCTCATATAAAAGGTTCTCAAAAAGGAAAGGAATATACGTATATATACTTGGGCCCAAATGTTATGGAAAAGTAGTTGAAATATAGGAGAAAAGGCATTCAGTACTTAGCCCTTCCCTACAACACAGTGGAGCATCCCTTTCCCTTGTGATCACTGATGCCATTCCCACAGACTACTCACCTCTGCAGCTACAATGGAAGGACCATAGGAGATTCATGTAGCAAATATTATATCTTGCTGTTTGAACATTTTAGTAATGAAACCTCTTTCAGAAATAAGTAGTTTTTCACATTTACTTCTGGTTTTGTCTATTTTTCCAAAATCTTTGGGACCTCTGACTGCACAAAGCTGCGGTGGAGTCCTAAAAAAGCTAGGATTATTGCTATTGCTCTTTCATCACCTCTCAAAAGAGGATCATCATTTCATCCCTTGCAGAAGTGGAAGGGATAATCAGGCTTTAGAATTCAAGTATTATTAGGATATTAGGTAGATTTAAGTTAGCATAAGGGGAATTGTAATATTATAAGCCATAGAGGCTGAAAAACCAGGGAGATATAAAACTGTAAGCCTCCAATTGAAGTATGAAGCAGTACACTGAGAAAAATGCTGACATCCATAACGCACCAGGAATGCAGATGAATTCAGTGTAATGTAAATGATAACTGAGAACTATCACTGACAATTTAGGATGAGTGAAAATTTTATAATTGAGTCTTAGCACAACGAAGAGCTCAGTGAAGTTTTCGACCATAGTAAAGGTCAGCCTACTCTCTCAGCTGTAAGTATTACTGCTGCATTTTCTAATTTCCTACATTTTCTAGTAAGAGTTCCATCAATTGGAGGCTAACCTGTAAGGCAACTAGTAAAAATTAATATAAAAGATACAGTGCTAGAAAATTAATGACTGCATTCCTACTTTTCCTTTTTAATACAGCAATTCAAAAGAACAAACATGCTCTAGTATTACATCCAAGTATAAAGTAAATTAGTGATTGGACCCTATTTTACTTATACTACCCCAAATATAGTGAAGGACATGTGAAAAGGCATTCACAAAAGCACACACAATTAAATGCTTGGTTACCAGTGAATAATTATCTTATGCTCATTTCATTAAACCAGCGTTTAGTAGGGGAACAGTTTATTCTGCCCTAAAGTAAAACCTTATGGTAGAACCTGGATTAAAAAACGGCCCAAAGAAAAGACTTAATCTGATTAGGAGATGACAGCTCCATCCCGTATCAATTTACACAAGTCAGAAGCGGTTAGCTACATCAGTTTTCCTTGGTTATTATGTTCAATCTTGAACAAATGAGGGGGAAATTCTGTCCGTGCTCCTCACATGCAGTCATTTAATTCAGTATTCTTTTCGGGGAAATCTCATACAGAGCTCCTTTGAAAAATGAGTGGTGACGCCAATTACCACAGGCATATTTCATTTTGTTAGAGAATAAGACACCGATGAAATCTGTTGTAATTTCTATATCCCTTCCTATTTAATACCTACTGTTTATTTTTTATTTCAGAGGATAAGTATGAATCCTTTTCTCCTACTCAGTCTTTCATTATTACTCCATTAAGTCAAATTACAATATAATTCAGGAATATCCAAATTGATGAACGATGGTGCTGCCTTTCAAAACCAAAGAATCACAGAATAAACAGCTTCCTTCATCTATAATCTTTACTTATTCCAATTGAAGACAACAGAAATTTAGGAGTTTAGAAACCAGCTGCAACTGACGAATTCCTTGCAATAAGGATATTCTACAATGCAAATGTTAATAATACCAGAAATACCATTAAAGGGAAACAGAAGTTCAAATAAAAAGTGAGGAGTTCATTGGCTTAAGCCAAATTATTATTTAAAATAGAGTTTGTTAGAAAAGATAGTTTTACTATAATTTTAAATATAGTTGAAGTCTAAATTTAAATGTAGATGAAGTCCTTCAAAAGGATTTGGATTTTACTCACTGTGTACATTTAAATCATAGTCCCTTCTTTTTCAGTAACATGCACTGGCCATCTGGCAAGGCTTGGCAAGTTGTATAATTTTTGTAGAATGATACATCTGATTAATTACCTTCTCTGCTCTTAGGAGGTTTTCCTGAAGAAACAAACAGAACTACATCTCTTATGCAGTTCATTGTCCGGTGTACAAACAGCTTTATCAGCCTGTTGTGCATTTAGCTGGAAGTTGTGGTTACCTAGCAGATAAAACAAAGAAAATACAAAGTTAATTATTATGTGTGCTGCTGTAGACACCCAAAATATAGTTTTTTATCTCAAGTCTCTAAGTAGTACAAAATTAAAACAATAGTGGCATTTAACAATATAAGAGAAGTCACTGCAGATAAAGAAATGCTGTCATACCTCTTGCCACATATTCTCAGCCAAGGCCCACACTCTGGGTCTTACACAAACCTCTATGGTTATTATTGAGAGCTTGGTAAGAAAACAGTTTGGATTTGATCCATGCAGTATGACAGTAGCAGAAACAACCAGAGAGATTCTACAACTGAGACATCTAACATCACTTAAGAGTAAGTACTTCTCAAACAACGTATGAACGTGAGCAGTAGTTTGGACACTTTGGCATAGTTCATCCTGGTTGAGGGTAGGTCATTATTTGACAAATTTCAGGAACAGAGCATTGTGTTTTTGCAATATCACGTATCATCCCTTCCCCCTCCAAATTAATGAAACTGATATTCAAGGAATGGATAGGCAGAGATGTTTGAACTGTGTATGCATGGGAATGCACATATATATTTACATAAAGAATAAAAAAACTGTTTTCTGTTATTGTTATCAGTAATTCCTAGCGTAGGAATTACTAATTAGAGGTGAAGTATTCAATAATTAAGTCAATCTAATTCATGGATTGCCAAACATGCGGAAATACTATTTTGGACCTGGACAGAAACCATTCTTCTGCTGGGCTCCACACATGGCCTCTGCCAGAGCTCCCTTGACTCCCAGAGCTGCACAGGGTGAGCCAAGAGAGACAGTGTGCTCCTCCACTCCTGGGAGCAGAGCAGAAGGAGTAAAGCTTTCATCTTGCCCTGGAGCTGCTTTTTGTGGATCAGCAGACAATGGACGGGACCTGGCTGGCAGGAAAGGCATCCAGCCATTCAGGAGAGGAGATGTAACAGCTGCAGGTCAGGGTGAGGCCATAAGTTATATAGGAGGAAAAGACAGCAGTGATTTCACGGGTAGCTGTATGTGACTCTTGACAATGCAGGTGACCCCAATGACCTAAGTCTCAGATCTATGCATTAAATACAGTAATAACTCAGCAAATATTGAAGATAATATTTCATTTTAATGCATACACAAACAATTGACCTTTGCTCCTGCAGTTTAGTCATACTTTAAAATCTTCACACTATAAATAGAGAAAAAAAACTTCCTTCAAAAATCTTCTGAAGAAATAAAATAGAACAAAACCACAGATATGGCTGTGTAAAAGACAGAGAGGATCCAAATATTAGAAAAGATGCCAACCTGGTGAACAATTCACCTGATTTACACACGAGACCCAGAACTACAAATATTTGTTCTTGTTCCACTTTATAAGACAAGAGTGATCTGCTGATGGAAGGCAGCTCTATCTTGCAGACTCAGCCAGCAAGGCCATAATTGCTTTCTAACACAATTTCTGGGAGCTAACCAATACTCAAGAATTGTAACTAGATGTGGTCTACCAGATGGGAAGGGAATTATAACTGCTTTATTTTACTTTATTTTCTTTATTTTCTTCTATTAGGCAACTTTTTTTTTTTTTTTTCACAACCTTATTTTTAAATCATGTGGATGAGTCCTGCCCACACATAAAACAAAACCAAATTTCTTAAATTCCTTAACTATTATAAGATGTTGCTACAGCTCTCCTCTAGCCTTTCATAACATATATTTAACTATATATATAAAATAGTACGTTTTATAACGAAGAGAGTATGACTTCAAATCCCCTGAAATGGTTTGAAAAGGTGTGAGCCCTGGCATACATCTGAGACACATGAATACATTCATTAAGCTCCTTTGCAGAATCGATCTCTTAAGCAGTAGGAGACTCTCACTCAGTTGAAGTTCTTTGGAAATAGGAACAATTTCAGCTACAGGGAGAAATTTTACTGACCATATCTTAATGAAGGGGTGAGGGAGGACAGAAAGCTGTAAGACCATAAAACTGACAAAGCAGGAAACAAGATTGTTCCAGACAAAGGCATACAGATAAAATGGCCTCCAAAAAAACCACACAATGGCAAGAGAGTTTTAGAATGACCAAGCAAACTATACATTATTGTCTATATGTTCTCGTCCATATTATTCATTTCACTCTGGATTCAGTGGAACAGGACTGCATGATTGCTGTTAACAAAAAACAAAACAAAACAAAAAAAACCCAACAGATTCTCCACTGAAATTCTCAACTGTGTGACTGCACTACAGGAGTCTGTGGAACTAATCTAGTAAAGAAATCAATCCTTGAATCTCCATGTATTTCCAGTGGGCTTTGAGTCCTGTAAGCTGCACTGTGATACCAGGAACATCTTTTGGCAATTTGATCTCCTTTTTAGTATCTTTACTTCTTTAATTGTTCTTCTTGATGCATAGATTCCTTGATCAGGTTTATAACAGTTCAGGTGAGCACACGTCTTTGTGCAGCTGGTTGATCATACAGACATCTCTGCTCAGATGATGGCAGTTTAAGCAATAATGAAAAATTTCCTGTGGGCTGCAACTCTGAGTAAATATAAGGTGAAAAATTAAGGGAAATAAATGATCACAAATTTCTCTCATGATTTGAAGCTTACTAAATAAATAGATTCACATCAAATAGTCTAGTGGAATGCAAAAAAAAAAATAAAAAAAAATCATGTATATGCTAAGCTGAATGCATCTTACGAAGTGATATTTAATTCAGTTGAGGAAGGAGTTGATTATGGCCAACAGATGGTTCAGATATTGTTTACCCATAATAAGGATATCTCATCTTTCATTTATATTTCGTGTAAAAATCTGGCCTAATCTTATACTGCAGAAAACAGTCATTACTGATATAACACTCAACTACAAAATCGTTGCTTTTCCTCTGCCTTCCATATTTGGGATAGAAATATGTATTGTACACAGTTTGTATTATACACCATATGCTTAGATAATCTCTCCAATCTGATCTTGGAGCATTACTCATTATCTTTAGTTGGTCTTACTTCATGATGTCAACACCATCAACATGCTACATAACACATCAACAGGCTACACAGTATTAAGGTTATCAGCACCAGTTGCTGTTTCTTCTAATCCACATAATGCCAGTGCAGTTTTGATGAAAATGTCTCCAAAGTCAAAAAATAAAAAACAAAAAAATCCTCTGCTACATATACAATGGCTTCAGATCTGATGACATATCTTCTGCATGACCACGTCCTAACATATTGACTGCCTATCCATATGGATGAAAATTACCATTTTAATTTTAAATGCTTCTAAAGCAAACAGTACTTCGCTCCTTGCTCTTTTCATGTTTTCACAGTTACCCTCAGGATTTGTTAGCACTGGAACTATCAGTCCCGTTTGCTGTCCTATCTGTAATTATTCATGCACATCTCTATCACTGTTTTTCCTTCTTTTTAAAGGTCATAGTTCTTGATTTTTAGTCAGTCAAAATATATTGGTGCTTAAATTGCATGCATATTAGAGTATCTTGCTAAGGCCCTTAAAATAATGTAATATAGCATCTGCTTACTTTACCTGATCAGTATCTCACTGATGTCCTTAGAAACCAAAATCTTTGACAAAGTTCTTTAACAACATGAAAAATATTTTATACTGCAAAACATTCACACAAAGTATACTAAAATATCTCTCTATACCTTATGTCTGCAATGAGTTCCATTAGCTCATGAGCTCTTTAGTCCATCCTCCACAGACTTTCACTACCACGGGCAGGATGGAGCTTCTTATGTGAACCAGAATAGCTGGTTTAAAGGCTGTTATTCATTTTCCTGAGGTGGAAATAATACCTTTCCAGTTATTGAGCCTGAAATACTAAAAAAGTGATTTGTAACTAAGAACAAGTTTTCATGAAGATAAAGCTCTGGTAAATACAGAGATATTATTCTGTTCAGACTAAAAGTAAAAGGAACAAAACATCTGCTCATCAGATTTGTATTTACGTGTATTTGTATGCATTTATAGTCACCTCATTTATAAAGACTGTGATAAATTCCATTCTTCCGTTTTAGCCAGGACCAAGCATTACAACTCATTTGTTCAAATGCATAATTTAACTTGCTCTCTAAGACTTAATTTCCCCAATGGAGACAATGTTATTCTTCAAGTGACTCTCAGGGCATCCCTTTGTCAAAAATCTGTATGGGAAGAACTTCTCCAGGCCAAAACTATGTCCAAATGCTAAACGGTATGAACAAATCTGGACTTTCAAAAACATTTAAATCTGATAACAGCTTCTAATATATATACTCCTAAATCCATAAATAACAGTGCATTTCTAAGTGTATCATAAAATCAATAGAACACTTTGACTGCTTATATTTCTCATAGAAAAGTATGGATTTATAGTAACTAGTCAGTATGACTAGCAATATTATGGGAAATAACTTTTAAAAATATGAAGAGTTAGGAAGAATTAGAGAGATTCAACTATAAGCAAATAATTGAATATTACTGTCCTAATGAAGTTCCATGAAAGTATGCAGATGTACAAAAAGGGAAGAAAATTGGTTTTTCATTACATAAACTATCCTAGCATTCGGAAGGCAGTGAAGATGTTATTACTGCATTTTATTAACGTCCCCAGTACTTAAAGCTCTTATCCTAATAAGTAAAAACTATCAGGAAATCGATGAAAACAATCAGAAAATCTACCTCGTTATCTATGGAATTAAGGCTGATGTAAGTGCAACAGCCTGCCTACCTGCTGGTCCTTCCCACATCTCTTACATCCAATGGCTAATTCAAATCCAACGTGGCAGCCAAATAAGAGACTCAGGTACATTACCTTCCTAAAGATTACATGAAAGTGGACAAAGGGTAGACGGGACAGGCACAGCTTTTCCCTGGAGGAAAGGCAATCATTACTCAATGGTTTTCCTTCCCTGGAGGCAGCCCTCTGATGGCCTGTCACACACACCAGCCAGCCATTTCACAGGAAGGCAGCTCCAAACCCATCTTTTCTGGCTGTATGGTACAGAGGAGGAGTGGAATGCACGCCACTCAGACAGAAAGTTGCTCTCCACAGGAAACTCAGACTTCTGTTAGCTTTCTGCAGATGTCTGCAAACAAAGAACCAGCTGTCATGTTTAAAGTGTGTGCGGACATTAAGGAGAACAGTAGTTTTATTTTCTCTCTTTTCATCTGCTTTTCTTGAGTTTTCAGAAAGGCAATGATGAAGTTTATAACATTAGAACAAAGAATTTATTCTAAACTTACTTTTTCAGTGAAAACCACCTATATTTTATTTCACCCATTGGTTGATGTATTAGATGTTAGTTAAAGAACAACTTAAAAGGTTGAGTTCTAACCATTATGTGTCAGAAACTAATAAAAACAGCAATGATAGCACAGTGGTAGGTGGTAGCACTGCAGAACGATCAATTTTCCACAATAGATGCGGAAAATTTCTCTCTGGATATTTAAAATAACTCTTTGTTCTAAAAGTGAGTTGGAATGCAATATCAACAGGACTGAACTATCATTTCTGAAGGACAAAGGAGGTGCACAATTTAGGAGTGAGAGAAGAAAATCTGGGTAAAAAACCTTTGTGAGATTTTACTGAAACCCTACTTTAACTAAACCAAAATTACATAAAAGCAATTTTTTTTTATTCAGCATAGTGTGAAATCCATTTTCCCTCAAGGATTTTATATCTATTCAGTTACTTACGGGGAAAAGAATGCTATCATTCTTTTTTTTAAAAAAAGGAAAAACAAACACCAAAACTTCTGAGATTTTTTCAAAAGCTGAAGACTAGACTACGAGGCTGCCTTTTGATGCATGTCTTCAGTAATGCCTTCTGAAACTACTGGGGGGCCTTGAGAATGAATTTTGTTAAGGTCATGAATCTTACCTTTTTAGATGAAGATGGTCTTTGACGAATCAGAAATTACTTCAAGAAATTCTGAAAATTATTAAACTCACCTAGGGAAAAGCTGAAGAATGGGCAACAGTGTGGATTATTAACAAAAGAAAAAAACATTTGACTCTCTGTAAAATAGAGTACTCTATAAAACTATTTTGTGATATATTATATAACATTATATAGGTATAGAAAACATATGTATTACATGAGGTAATATAATACTTAGACATTGAGTCATAGCTTGATAATTACCCCAAATCCACAGTTGTGAATGTACCATAGTATGTTTGCTAAGGCAGTGCATATGCATTCTCACCAAGGGTGAGGCTATATAATCTAGGAATAGGACTGTTCTTACAGAAAGTCATGATTTTTGGGTGGGGAACATGGATATAATAGCAAGCCTATGAATTCTGTAGCATATCCTTTGCAATATTTTTTTGGTCCTTATAAGCTATTTGTGACTCTATTATGCATTGAAGAGAAACTGTTACTGATAGTCAAATATTTTCTTTGTTGTTGTTGTTGTTTTTTTGTAGGTTTTGAAGATTCCACAGATTTCAGTAGAATCAAATTTCACTTTTGATGTCACAGCAACCTTAATTCAAACACAATGCATGGATGTAGTGCATTAACAGTAACAGCAAGCAACGAAGACTAATATCTTACCATTCTCTTCAGTAGAGAAAGGATAGAAAAATTATGTTCAGTAACGCCCCCCCCCCTTTTTTTTTTTAACAGAACATTTTATATCATAATGCCAAGCATACATTGTTTTAAAACCTTGGCTTTAACAAGAGAGAGATAAAAGACACTCATTCATCTACTTCTTTTCAGTGACAACAGTGAGTATTTATAGTATGAAGATGGCAGATTTTAAAGCTACAAATGGCTTTTTGGCACTATAACTCAGGGTTATGGTATAGCTCAAATCGTGTTTACGGAGTGCAACGCTGAAATGTAAATGCATCAGATGCTCATGAAACTTAAAAAAATGTAATGTCACAAAAGCAGATTAAAAGGTGTAATTTCTCTGTAGTTTAACTAGAGCGAACCTTTTGAAACTTGTTTCTGAATCACAGTGATTTACTTACAAAGAGTAGAGAGTTTTCCAAGTAACCAAGTCCCACACAGTTAATGCTGATACAATGAATTTCATCTGAATGAGAACATCAATACAGGAACTTTGGTCTCATTAGCAATGCATTTTAAAATGATCTAGAATTAATCATTCAATAATACACAGGAGCCACTTTAAGGACCAAAAACTTCCCACTGCTACTGAAAGGGTTAAATAACAAAGTGCAGCTGTTTTCATAACTGACAGAATCTCTCTCCTATTAATACACAGAAAAACATTTAAAAACACTCCAAGTACAGAAGAAGTTAAATTCACAACTCAAAAACTGTACTGCCATTTTGTTTCAGGTGCTGCTGGATGAGGTTTTCATTCATTTATATGGGAAACCAATGACAGAAATTTTTGAGAATTTGGACATTTTAAAAATGATGTATTTTTTTTCCCACTGCTTACAATAGGTTTGGGGTTCTTTTCCTCCTCATCTTGCCTGGCTTTGCCTTCCTAGACTTCCCTCACATATTTATCTTTGATGCAGTGAATGGCCATTCTTCCCAGTGCCATAACTTTGCAGTAGGGATACATCTGTTTTACCTTCCCTCCCATCAATTATTTCTCCAAGCAGTATCTAGCATTTATGCCCCTCCTTAAAGTTAGCTAAGTGTATACATTCTTAGATCATCAATTCAGTATTACTGGCAAAAGCACAGAAGTAGTAAAGCATAGTAATAGATTAAGAAATGACACTGGCATTTTTTAAAGAATCCCTACAGTTATATCTACATAACAACTACTACTCTTCATTGAATATTACCATTTTAAGAGAGGGGCAAATGGTGTTGATTATCTGAGTGTGCAAGTGTTGCTAGAACAAGGTAAAGGCTGCATAAAGATTGTCAAAGAAAGGAAGAATTAATACTGGAAGAAGAAAATGAGGAAAAATGAAAAAATAAGAAGAATAAGATAAGCATGGATCTAAACAGTTTAAAGCAAAAATTGTTTTCTAAACTTAAAAATAACTTTGATGGAGACTGTCAGAGGTACAGCAGGAATTCAGTTTGCATCTGTCTCCACTTTAACAGAAACTGTGCAAAAAGAAGGGATTTAGATGAAGACACTTAGCAACAAAGCAGTGACCCCCACGCTGAGAAAGTAGCTTACATTTCACAGAGTACTTCTGTTTGTAGGTACTTGATTTCATTCCATACGTAACCTTCTGAGAGATTTTTCTCCTAAGTCCCTACAGTTAGGCTCCAACATGTGAACAGAAGTAAATCAGACACAGGACCTTTATTCTAAACCAGGGTAGGTGCTTTGTGTCCTCTGTTTTTACCTTGTAGCTCAGCTGCCAAAGCACTCACTGAAGAGAAGGGCTGACTGCAGTTTATCCTACTCTCAGGAGGCTCTTGAAATACAAACTACAGTTCAGCTGGTCAGAAATCTCACTGGTCTCTGAAATAAGCTAATTACACGTTTAAAATTAACGCAGACAAAGACAAAATCCATAAAGGACTATCTTCTCCACAGCAGTTATATATTTAGAGGAGATGGAAAATTTTTGCTTCTGAGCTCTCCTTGCCAAAACCGTCTGTCACTCTGCGTTAAGCTTCATTAATTAATTAATTGGTGTAGTGCAGGGAGCAAATGGATGAGCTTGGAGTCACCTGCTTGTACTGCCTAGTTCCTGGCACTGATTGCATTCAGTTTTTCAATGTTCAATCAGCTAGCTGTGGCCAACAGATCGTTTTTAGGTATGGCATTAGCCATTCTGCAAACACAAACAGGCACTCTGGATGTTGTGTCAGAAGCTCACTTCTATTCATGCCTTCAGAATTCTCACGGAACTAACTGGAATGTATGAACACACACATTTTTCCAGTTTGAATCACAATAAGTTTTAATGATTAGACACAAATCCAATTACTGTGCAGGAGCTAAACACAGTAATATTTTGGGAGGGTCACAAGTCGGAATGGATCAGAATACAAATGACTAGCATCTGTTTAATAATTAATGATATTAAAAAATGTAAGTGCAAACTGAATAGGAAATTCATTTGCATTTGTAATGCTTGTTAAATCTTTCAACTAATCTCAAATCTTTTTTTCATTACTTTTCACTAACTAGTATATAAAATGGTTTCACAGTCCCTATAGTCTTTTTTTCTTCTAATTATTTTAAATGTATGAAGAATAATCAATCTTTACATACTCACAGGTATATCAAGTGAACAAAGTAAAAATGATTAACAGTAATAGTGTAAAAGTACCTCAAAAGCTTACTCTGAAATACATACCATCTTGCATGTAAAACTGACCAATTAATAATTTTTCAGCAGCTTCATATTTATTTAATTCAACCCTTACACCAACCCTGATTTTTGATAGCATTTAATTAACCTGTGTAATGACTGCCATTGCATACATAGATTAAAAAAATTGTATAAGTAATGGTCAGTTAGGCAGCAACCAGTATAATCTGTACATACAATTACATCAATTAAGCTCTCAAATTGGGCACATCATTACTTTTGACAATATAGAATTCTGGCCTTTGAAGTCCATTCCTCTCCCTTTTCACAAATACTTTAAAGTAGTATCTATGCACGCTGCAATTCATTCTTAGTTTGTAATAGGGATTACTTGAGACATATTAAATGAAAAAGAGCCTGCTAAAATACAAAAAAGAAAATCAACCCAGAAAGTTTGTTCAATGTTAGTACTTTTACTAACAGTTAATTCTTCTATTAGAAGGCACAAAATCAAGGCAATGGATTTCTAAAGATAAATGTGAGCATTTATTTGAAAATGAACTTCTTCTAGCTCCATAAAAAGGTGAAGATGAGGGGCAAAAATCTATCTCATTTAAAAAAAAAAAAAAAGATTTAAGAAAGACTTATTTTAAATTGTCTTTTTACCTGTAGTATCTATTACAGCCCATTTCTTTAGCAGTACCACTGGCTTTAGCTCTTCCTTCACACATCTTTCCCCAAGGAATCAATGCTCATTCACAGCTCACAATGACAAATCTGTGAAAGAACAAACTGATGTTCCACATTTGGTGCACAGTTTGTAAGCTTTCCTGGTAAATTCAAGTTGTTCTGCATGCATGGAAAAAAAAACAGAAGGACTTGGTGAAGATGACTAATTACACAGAGGCTATTAAACTCTTTTTCTTCTAAACACACTTCAGTTGTACAGAGGGGTCTGCTTCCTCTTGCATGTGAAGTTTACCCAGACTTCAAACAGCCCTCCATTTATTAGCTATTTTTTCATAACTTTATAAAACTTCACGAATGAAGAATTTATTTTCATACATACGCATGGACACACAGTAAATATGAACTGTATTTTACCTGCCCTAGTGTTAAGACATGAGATGAGTTCAGTCAAATGCAATGTCACACAGTGTCTTGTTTGTTTTAATGAATTTCCCATCTGTTGGTAAAACAAAATGCCAGATGTTTATCTTAATAACAAGGTCTGATGCTAGAATTGAGTTCTGCTGTATCTTGCTCTCTATGGACAGAAGCACACGAGAAATCCTGATGAGAGGAAGCTATTTGCTATTCCCTGACCTCTTTATTAAGTGAAAATCCAACCTTTCTTTCGTTAACTTATGCTTAGATCACATTCCTTTTTAGGTCCAACACTGACTTTTATAATGTATCTAGAGGGTTGAATAACTAAGTATCAGTAATTTTGGAGAAAGCGTAATCATATTAATGACACAAACCACCAGCCTATCAGATTGTGACAGGGTTATCTTTGAAGAGGAGAAATCATATTCTACTCTTTTGCCACTCTGTAGACTTTCATAACTGGATATTCCAGAGCTTTTCCTACTCGGCTCAGTACCTGTCTCCATATTAAATAACCAGGAGAAGCACAATTGCCACTTATTTGCCAGTGATTAGCACTGTTTCAGCTGACATCCTGACACTCGAAGTATCTCTCTCTAGTATTCAATAATCTGTTGAAAAGCATGGGACAATTCATGCAAGTTGCCTGATATTCAGGTACACATCCTTGAGTAGGTTTACAGTGAATTATCAGCTAGAAGATTATTTTAAATCCACAAAATCAGTGTTAATGATGAGGAACTAGAGATGTACATTATGGATGAGAGACACGTGGCCACCAGGAAACAGCTTAAAGTCATTGTGAGTTATTGCAAGTTACTGTGAATCACCTGAGCAATAATTGGCTCTGTTCCTGGAAAATCCCCCAGTCCTTCATATCAACTTACCATTAATAAACAGGTATTGCTAGAAGAATGAAATGCATGCAATAAAGGGGATGGTGTATCCTCTAACAATCATTTTTTCTAATATTGGGGAAAACAAAAACTAGGAGGAAAACAACAAATTTCATGTAGGACAAAATAGCACTGGCTCAACTAATAGAACACCCATTACTCCAGCTGCATTTTTTTGAAGGCAAAAATAATTTGTAATACTGCATTCATTAATTCCCTGGATCATCAAGGACAATCACTCAGCTTGGGCATCACTGCAGCACAGTCCCTAATGCAAAGATGAGTGGTAACACGTCCAATTCTCTTGGAATGCCTTTACATCAGACAAGATTGTCCCCACACACATGCTCCTTTCACTTTTTTTTGCC